TTGGTGGTGCCAGTGTGTGACTCATTATTCATTTGGCTTCATTTAAATCTGCGACAGTCACATCACAGGGTGGCCTAACTAGTGATTAATTCTCGTGCGCTGCGTCACTCACAACTTAGCGTCAAAAGCACTAATTCGTGAATCCTCTTGTGCTCACTGCATGTGCCTGGATAAGCACTGCTCTAACTGGATCTCAAAAGGTCTCTGTAGGGGGAGACAGTGGCCCTTCGTGCCAGGAATTTTTTTCAGAAACAGTAATTAGCAAGTACTACATGGCTGCCATCTCAACTCCGAGGCTGCAACTTTCCCGCTCCGCCTAAAAATTGTGAGATGATTTTTTCTGGATATTAGGATGATTTCCGTCTGTTAACGTTATCCCTGTAAAACCTTCCTTTTAGGCATGAGTAAGCCTGAACCATCCGCATCACCACTAAAAGTTGGTGAACCCTTTTCTGGAAGTGCTGTTTAGACTCTAATCCTGAACTCATGCGTCTACGCGTCTATGATGCTTCTGGAGAGAGGTTCAGAGAGCTGGGGTAATATTTTCCAGGTAGGAGCCCCGGATGATACCCGACAAGAAAGCGGTTTAGCGCTTTGACGATCAATTTCTGTGCATCCCACTTCGTTGTCTCTGGTCACACCCCCATATACCACATAAATAACTGGTATACATTCGGTTACTTCTGAACTGAAGTGCGAATTTGATATCCTTTTTGGCTGCAGTTCAGTTAACCGAAGTAAACATAAGATCATTGAAGTGGATACGACTGACACATGCTGGTATGCAATGAGTGTTGGTGCGCGTAACCGTTTATCTAGCCTGTATATTCGAAATGCCACTGAGCAACACTCTCCTCACTCCATTTTTACCCGTGCCTTAAGGAGGCTAAGGCCACATTTGTTGGGGCCCACTGACAACCCTACTGGGGAACAGTTCGTCATAGTCTGGATCCCGTTTGTCAAAAATGTTTGAATGTTTGGGAAGGAAGTCTTTTATCTGTCGAAATCTTATCACTTAAATTTTATACTTTCGTGCGAAACATCCGCTTACTAGCGCCTGAAGGCGGGAGGCTGTGGCGTAGACGAAAAATTATTGACAAATATACACCAAATAAAATCGCTTAAAATCCTAGTTCACCATGCATATACCAGCGCATATCTGTACTCAAATTACTTTGATGTTTATATTGTTTGCGACAAGCGCTTGAAGTAGGGATGGCTTGCCGAAACGCCCAGTTTGCTGAATTAGAAGATAAGAAGCATGGTGTCACATATTTCTTGAAGGATGGAAAAGCTAAAACTGTATCTTCACTAGACCGTGCTTATTGAGACTGTTTGTTTGCAGGTAACTCACTTTTGTGGGTTAGACATTGATTTGTGTTAAGATGCCGAACTGAATGCAAACGAAGGTCACTAAAAGGCGGGTAAGTGCCGTTGTGGTTTCGTTTCTGTGGTCGCTTGGTTTCCTCGCTGAAACACAAGTGATGACTTTTTCTTTTCAAAGTTTTCCTCTGCGCAATAAAATACGCTCAGAAGATTGAATTTTATTTTCAGTGGGTATTGCTTTGCCTCATTCTACCAAAATTCTGGACAAAGCTGAAAAATCATCCACAACTAGCCTAGAGACAGTTGGCCGATTCTCAAGCCATATTCCTGGTCAATCACTCAATTATATTACCGGTACATTACGTGACCCAGCCTCACAATGGAACGCCGGCTCGACGCTGGCACAAAAAACAGACCACCTAGAGCCTGTTCGTAAAGAGGTTTTATCGTGAGTTTTCATTATTGCTAATGTTCTCAGTATACTTAATAAAGTCACCGCCGAAAATTTCGAACAACAGGCAAAAAATATTTTAAATGTTGGCATTCATTCTTCTTCCATTCTTAATGTCATTGTGCGACTGGTATGTATCGAGTTCGGTAAACATTCTATTTTCAGATTTTCCAAAAAGCTATCAATGAGCCCAAATTCACTGCATTGTATGCCCAGCTGTGCCTAAAGTTATGTTCTAGTGCGCCCAATTTTGAGCCGAAGGGTAGCCCGAAATCGGTAAGTTTGATTGTGGTGGTCCCAAAATACTCAGACTTTTCGCATTTTTCTCTTGAAACTTTGTGAAGATGAATTCAAAGCGCGCAACGGTGCCGACGACCCGGTTGCTCGACAAAGAAGCCTGGGGAACGTTCGCTTCATCGCGGAACTTGGACAGCTTGGTTTTATTCCGGAGAAGATTTTGCATCAGTGTGTTCGAGCCATGCTCTCCGGACGCACCCAACCAGTTCAGTCTGTTACATCCAGCTCTGGATCAACTGTGGAGGATACTACCGGTAGATCAGGTAAATGGTTACAAAAAGTTTTGGACCTTGAGCTTAAGGTGGGAGAGCATGCGTCTCTTAGTATGGAATAGACTACTTTTCCCAACGCTGGTGCACGGTTATTGGTGGTCTGACCAACCAACCCTGAATCAAGAATAACTCGCCCGTATATCTTAATCATCGAGCTGTTCTGGCATTCGAACAGGCATGTTTGCCGTACGCGCTACACGCCATCGGATGTGATTTTCGAAAAGGCCGAGCCATTTATTACGCATGCTGAAGCATCCTTTGCGGGGAGTGATGCTGTTTTCTGTGCTGTACCACGCACAGGCACTGCTGTGCGTAGTTAGAGACACCCACATATACACCTTCTAATGGATTTCAATGGCGTTCTTGTCAGTCTCTGGTTAGAATGTCTGAGTGTCCGGACGTATATGCACCTGGGATTGATTATGGTCGGCTAGTACCAAGTCCCTTTTCCCATCCACTCTTATTCTCTACGATAAGGCTCTCAACTAGATTGTAGTCCCTCTCCTGCGAAGCATCATTGTTGAACACTGATGCTACAGTGTCGATGGTGCTGAAGATCGTTCGTCAAGGGTGACAAGTTTCAGTCATCACAGTTGTCCTGTTGCTCTCTGTGCCACGTCTGTGGTGTCCTGACTGGCGAACAATGGCCCTTGTCGCCTGCGTACCCGGGAACAACAAACTGAGATATTCGGGCCAGCTGGGCTGACTCGATAATTTTAATTTAATGCGAGTAGTACATAGGAGTAACTGAACTGCAGCTTGGGTATGATAACGGTCGGGGCAGGAATCTCGTGCGGGTAAACGAGCGAGTTGGTATACAATCATCGTTGGGCTTCTGGTCCCGGCAACTTTCCACCTGCCCTGTTTAAGGGCAACAGTTAGTTAATTGCTTGACTTTTTTGCTTCTGTCCTTGAGATTGTTACAAATAAAATGTAGGTCGATATTGGTGCCCATTTTTCAAAAGGATGCCTACACTGCACTCGGCAACCATGGTCCCAGTATGGTTTCGGTCGTGTCAAGGCTCCCAGTCCACTGACTACCGCCTTGCGTGGGACCTTTTCCGTCAAATGTTCTGGCGGGGACAGGTGTACAGTTGACCTGCATTCTTAACATTTTTTACTCCAGGGGTGCATTCGATTCTGTCGACCGGTCAGTTCTGACTCATCGGGGACTCCCCGGATTTTTGTTTACACATTCTTATCCTTCTTTTGACGAAACACCACTTGCTTCCGGAAATGAGTATGTGGAGAGCTGAAGGTGCGGATGTTCAATCCCGTTAACCTTGGTCACACGAGTGCCCTTCTTACTGAGACTCATTAGATAGGCTTACAAGAAATCGTTCAGCTGCAACACCCTTTCAGTGCGTAGCTGCTGTGCCACCCGAAGGAAGCACGAGGGCTGGAATACGGTCAAGTTGCCCAAGTATAGACAGGAGTGGTCGAGATGCAGAAGTCAGGTTAGACTTCTTCTGACTTTGACACGGACCTTCCGGCCAGTAAATTCTAGCATTGACCATTTGAGTTATCTCGCCTCGTACGAGAATTGGATAGTAATCCGTTGCTTAATGGTTTTACCTGTGGATCGCTTGCTTAGCGTTCCATCAGCTGTTAATTTGGGATTTGGGTGTGATTTCTGATCTAACCGGACTATCATCCGACTGCTGGTGAGTAGCCAGACTGGGAGAACTCCGAAATCATCCGAAGTGTGTTGTCCCCATAGGTGTCCTTTTCCTCCTCCATTCGGTCTTGTCATTAGTGAAGTGATGAGACGTGCAATCGAGGATCTTCGAAAATCTGGTGTTCGATTTATTGCTCGGGAATCTTGGCAGCACTTAGTATACAGACAGCATCGTCGGGATCTTTGGCGATAAACAGAAAATAATTACATTCATCATCATCATCATCGACAGCATGACATCACTGTTCAACACCGACTCTTTGCTTCCGTATTGTATTAAATTAACAATCGTCATACCACATGTGAGTTGCGCTTGCAGCATGCAAGGTCATGCCCCTGAATGTGCAGTGTTTGAGCCTCATAAATTGAGTGTAGATATGGGTTGTATTAGCTCTCACGAAATTGCCGGATGAAGTCAGTACACGAATGTCAAGAGCCCGATTCATGTTTGCTGATTGGCGTCACTTTGGACACCAGGAATGCATGTTGAATCTCGGGGCATACATCAAGCTACAGTATAGGAAATACTGTGTAGCTGTGAGGCAGCCTCTGTAGTTGGATAGCTTAGTGCGTCTTCAGGTTTTTAACCACCAATATCCCATAGGCGTTGCTGAGATTGGGTGGTGTCAATAAATTTCCAGAAGGATTACCAGGAAGTGGATATTCCTTTGTGCGAATATGTCGCGAATCGCAAGAATAAGGCAGCTAATTGGAATTCATGCGTTCGGTTTCCCTTCAAATCTGGAGTTGTGAGCACAGGATAATTGCGTAGGTGAGCACCATTTCTTTGCTGTCCACCCTGTTGCTATAAAGGTGGTGAATAAAAAGCCTTGTGGTAGTGTGTCAGTGAAGCTCTAGTGTAAACACTGACGACCAGTCTGATGTTTGAAGAAGGTTGAGGACTGAAACGTGGATCCGTCGATACCATCTAGTTTTTTCTCAATAAAAAGATCACAGAGGTTTTGAGGTTGGCCACCAAAGTAAAATCGTGCGCACAACCGTCCTGAGTGAGGCATGAGTATGCGAGTTTTCAAACCCTGTTGCTTGACTACCGTTCAAATCCTCCTAGCATTGTTGGACCGTTATCCTTGAGCCTATTCCACTGCTCCAACGTTTCGACTGGTTGTCTTGACCTACATAGACTTCATTCATATGCATGTAACGGGTATGAACCCTACCTCTGCTTCTCGACTTCCCCTGTCTAGGCTTGGGCAACCTGGCAGTATCTTGGCCCTCGTGCCTCCTTCCGGTGCCATGGCAACTAGGCACCATAGGGTGCTTCAGCTGTAAGGTTTGATTTTTATAGCTACCCGCAACTTCTAGTATCACTCCTTGCATTCTTAGAAACATGTTCTGCAATATAAGTTTGTAATTTGTAGTCGTGAAGCTCATATCGAAGGATTGAATGAGAATATTTTTCACGAGTAAGAACAATGTCGTCTGTATATTCCAAGTCAGCAAGGTCCTCGCCCGGAGCGATCTGAGGACCAGGGTTTTGAAAACCTCCCAGTGTTCACCTCATTACCTCATTAGTGACGAAATTAAACAAAAACGGGGGAAGTAGACATCCTTGTGGGACACCACTGCTTGTAGAGGAACCATTGGAGAGCTTTCCATGCATTCACACACACACAAGTATGTATGTGGTATTAACCAAATTTATGGGCGTACCTTTTCACGAAAACATTGAAAAGAGCCCAACCAATCGACGGAATTGAACGTATTTTTGAATACAGTTTAAACCAAGATTGTATGTTGCCTGTACACATGCTTCTTCTCTGACACAGCGCAGTGTGAATGTGTGGTCCACACATCCCCTCCCGGGTCGGAATCCTACCCTGTCTTGACGCACCTTCGTAACACGACTAAAGTAAGCGACGCAAAGCTTCTGGTTACAACGGATGTCAGGATAATTACTCTGTGATTGCCACTCTGCGAGCACCCTTTTTGGGAAATGGGCACCACTATCGACTCACCTCAGTTAGCCGGGACGATCTTTCTCTTTCAGATAGACAAGTGAGCCGGACAAGCGCCGATCATGTGTTTCACAGCCTATGAACGGAGCAAGCAGGAGTTTGTCAGCACCAACAACTAGGTGACGCTTATTTGTGAAGCCGTCGAGGGTTCTAAATCCATTATTCAGGACTGCGTTGCTTGTCGGGAGTCCGACTGAGTAGTTGCAGGTGGCCAGTTACGTTGTTCCTAAAAGCGCCCTTTCCAAGGATTCAGGCTTTCTTTTTTACGGATAGGCGAGCCGTTGTTATCAGTGTTTCGCTTACCGAAGGCTTGGGGGCTGTTGCGTGTATCGTCTGGAATAGTTGACGGACGTTCAAATTTTTTTCGCCTTTATCTCTTCTGCTTTCTCGATCCGCGCAAATGCTCCGTTTTACTTGAAGTCTAACAGTTCCTCTAGCGGTATGTTACACTTGATCAGGAAGAGTACGTATCCGAGGTTCGAGCAATCTTAGGTGTTGCTTGATATCCAGTGCCTAGGTCTAGTTGGATGCTTGGGCATGATAAACACGTAAACGCAATCTGGAGTTGCGATAATGTTACCGAGAGCAAAGGTTTTTCTGTTGGCCATCCGCGTTCTTGAACTAAAAAGCTAGTCTTTGTAGTCTGGTCTTCTGTAATTTTTCTGTTGGATGGTTTTGCTTGGATAGTTACTTTCGCCAATGGTGAAATTGGGTGGTGGTCTTTCGTGAGGGAACGTTACGGTATTGGTTATTAACATTTGCTGTATATTTGCCAAAATTAGTTTTCTCCTCAGCTGTGCCTAGATGAACTCTCGTGAATGTTCTTTGTTCGGGTACCACTTTCTGCATATTTTCGAAAACGTACGTATTCATTCGTCTACTTAATATGCTTCCGTTAAAGGGGCTAAAATTCGGGAAGAGTCCCTGGCAACGGACATGGAGTGTCTATGCCTTTTCCTGAAAGTAGTGGGAAAATCTATGGACACACCGAAGGCACACAATCTAATGAACCAATATTTCCAGCGGCTACAGCGAATTCAAGCACGGGCGATGGAAGCTTCCAGTCTACACGGAGAATCGGAGGACGGGTCTAACTGCAGCGGCGGTAGACCTAGAACGGGTTCAGCCCATGAAGTGATCAACTCACCGAAATCATCGGGTGTGAAATCTAATGTGGAAGTTTTGCCAGCTCGTATTCGCTTCATGATTGATGATATCCTGGATTTAAGGAGTAATGGATGGGTCCCACGACGGGCAGGTCAACGAGGGGAAACAAACAAACCTCGGTATCTGAGGGATATTCGCATGGAAGTATTTAAGGTCAGTGGTTGTGATTTTTGCATATGAGGATTGTTATGCCCTCGCTTTTGGACTCAAGTTTGGAACCGCTTTGTCTGAATGTGGTAAACCATCGTCCATATTAGCGTAAACTAGTTGATATTAGTTCAGACGTTCATATTGTGTAATGAACCGCAATATATAAGCCCGCAGGTAGGAGACTTGAACCGTTCTTTGAGTAGCACGGCCCATCAATTCAGACGACAATTGAGGGCGTGAATTGCCGTTCCGTCTTCGTATATTGTTTCATTGACAACTGCTTTTTTTTGACCGGTTGCTTGGATCAGCTGAAACAGGGCGCGGCTCTTGCCTGCAACGAAAGCCTTCTCCATCTCCTGGGCCTTCGAAATTCACCAGCGTTTCCTGTCATTCTTCCGGCTCCTGATTATTCAGTTTTTGAGGGATCTGTGTGCTCCATCACAGTCGCCACTTCCTGGTATTTCCTTTCTGGCAGCAATAAGATCTGTTGATCTCAACGACATTCCAATGTCCATTTAGTTTAGTCAGATGACCTGGATGAACAGTTCCGAAAGGTGACAGCACAGGTGCTCGACTAACCATACTGATGATCAATGGGACGGATTAATCTGACGAGACTTGTGCATCCAAGTCATTGAGGCCGTTTACGACGATTCAGCAAAGTTGCTATTGGTGAATGATTTACCGGTCGTCGTCAATGAGGCCCATTTTAGTTCCATATTTTTTGTTGTTGGTATTTACTATCTAGGACATTTTATTTGTACTTAGCTATTGAAACTTGATAGATATGGTAGCGCCCTAACTGTTGAATGCCGCAGCTGACTTAAACCAACCTTTTGTGGTCTTCTTTGGGCCGGTGAAAGGCATAAGAGAATAGCAACTATTAACTTTTGTCTCTGGTTCATTTGTTCTTATACTTCAATATATATCCCCGGCAACTCACTCCGAAGGTATTGAACCACTGCTTAGTTTTTTTTCACTACCTAAAATAACATCGGCCAATTAGGTACACTCTTTTAGGGCGTGGAGAAACGTGAATATTGCCTGTCTGCGTCACAACAACGTAGTTGTAGGCTGACAGCTGTTACGTAGGATGACCCTGGCTAATTTTATGCCAGCCAACACCAGGCCATCCAGGACAGTGGTTTGCACTGGAACGCGGCGTGTCAATGTGTTGAATTGGTCGTACCTACCACACCATGCTCGTCCATGACCAAAAGTAGTCAATTTTCATGCGACGGCAGAATGTTTAAAGGCTGAGAAGATGAATTTCTAACATCGTGAAGCGTGCTTGTTTGAGGAGGATGGCTGTAGGAAAGGGAAACGAGGAGACCATCCAGTTAAGGCCTATGACCCCGTTGAATTACTGCTGCCTTCGAACCACAGACTAAAGTGGATGGTCTTTTTGTGGTTCTTATCAAGCGCTAGTTCATTTTCTCACTATGTTCCTTTGCGTTTCCAACGATTAAAAGCCTAAATTTCAATTTACGGGTGGTCATCGTCATCATCATCATCATCATTGATTTGGGGGGGGGGGAGGTAGCTGCGCATTGCAGGCGCGAGCTGGTAAATTGGTGCATAAATCCAGCACTGTCAGTGGACTGTCAAGTGGGGGTTGGGTTGGGGAAAAGGAGCTATGCATTGAAGGGAATAGCTTTGATGTACGAGCGCCATTGAGGGCGCGACTGGGCCATGTCTGATAATGTCTGTAGCCATTGATGTGGCCCGTCTCGGGGTCCTCATCCAGGAAGATGGCAGTGACCAGCGCAGCTGAGTTTGCTGGTAATGGCTTTCACACTTCGCTGCCAAGTCATTGTTTGACCGCCTCTGGCTCTCCTCCACCCTTCAC